TGGTTTTATAACAAAATTTGGTCCCTCGAGTTAATCTCCTTGCTACTGAAAATAAATAGTTTGCTATGGTCAGAAAATATTCCCTTCATCTTAAAATAAATGTCCCAAGCTTAATACAATTTTTTCTTTCTCGAATACGCACGAGTGTGCGTACTATATACTGTATTAAAGAAAGGGGATGGGAACAAGAGCCCGTCCACGTTGGCGTTTACATGTTACAATGTTACATGTGCACCAACTCCACCAGCTTAGCCGTACACTACCAAAGCCTAACTTCTTCCCTCAGCCCACCTAACTAAACCCTCAAAAAAGGTTCTACGTTGCCTTTGAAGATGCCGGCTTGCTTCCATGCGTGTCCTTCGGTGTCGATTCGGCTCGCTAGCGTCTTCGAAGAGACGGAGGCGCCATCGAAGACAATTGCGTTTCGGTGTTTCCAAATTTTCCATAGCACTAGCAGTAGGAAAGCGCGTGTGTCCTTCGCCTCCCGTCCCGGAGTAGCCATGACGGCACCCCAGTCCCGCAGCCTCGAGTCCGGGTTCGGCGCCCACTGTGGCCTACCCAGAGCTCCACAAATGACATGCCAAACTTCTCTCACGAAGACACAGCCCAAAAGAAGATGATCTAGGGTCTCCTCGTGCCGGTCACAGAAGGGGCATGCGTCCTGGTGGTCCAAGCCTCTCCTCGCGAGTCTATCCGAGGTCCAACACCTGTTGTGCATCGCCAGCCAAAGGAAGAAGCGACAGCGAAGCAGGGCCTTTGATTTCCACGTGAATTCTGCCGTCGGCTCCACCTCTCGTCCCACAAACCTGGTCTCGTAGGCAGATTTAGTGGAGTAGTCTCCATTGGCCTCCCAACTCCAAGTGGTGCGGTCTAGCTCATCCGGCCTGAGCGCCGTGCTGGTAACCCGATCCCACAGATTCATGTACTCATTTAGCTGCTCGCTGGAGAGGTCGGGACCAATGTCCAAGGCCCAGTCCCCCGTTGAAACAGCCTGGTGGACCGTCGGAGAACCCCGCGCATTGGGAGCGACAACGGCATACATGGATGGGGCAACATCCTAGATCATAAAACCTGCAAGCCACCTATCTTCCCAGAAGCGGGCGTTCTTGCCATCGCCAAGCGTAGTTTTTGCGGCGGCCCTGAAGAGTTGTTGCGATTCCTCAGGAACTCGGATCTAGAATTCGGCCCATGGTCTCGACTGATCCGTATGTTGGAGCCAAAGCCATCGGGCTTGGATGGCGATGTTCAGCCACCGGAGGTTTGGAAGACCCAGGACACCCGCCCACTTGGGCGCGCAACCGGCCTCCCAGGCAACTCTGCACTATCCATCGTTCGCGCTCGCGCGGGCACACCAAAGGAAGCCTCTGCAAATATTTCCCATGGCTGTGAGTACCTTCTGAGGAATGTCAAGTGCCATCATTGCATGGATCGAGATTGCACACAGGACTGATTTGATTAGACGAAGGTGGCCGCTCTTCAGCATGGAGGAGGCCCTCCAAGTTGGCAGCTTGTGTGCGAGACAGTCCACGAGCCCCATGAGCTGAGCCGATATTTGCTTTCTTATTGTAAGCGGGAGGCCGAGGTATTTGCAAGGATATGCGCCCGTCGGGCATCCCAGGATTTGCTCCACTCTTTCCATCTCAACTGTGTTGCATCGGATGGGCAATGCCATGCTTTTGGAGAGATTCACTGCAAGGCCCGAAGCCTCTCCGAAGCTATGAAGGATCCAAGCGCTTGCCTGCAAGTCAGCGTCGTTCGGCTTGATGAAGAGCATCACATTGTCAGCAAACAGCGAGAGCCGTTGTTGTATTCCAAGCCTGGCTAGCGGAGATAGGATGGCGCGGGATGTGGCAAGCTGGAACATTTTGTGCAGGGGCTCCATAGCTAAGATGAAGAGCATTGGTGAGAGGGGCGCGCCTTGCCTCATACCCCTGGCATTGTATATTGGCTTGCCGGGGTGCCCGTTCACCATAATTCGCGTCGAAGAGGTGGCCAAGAGCCCACACACCCACTCGATCCACCTCGCATCAAAACCCATTGCCGCAACACCTTGAGGAGAAAAGGCCATTGGACCATGTCGAATGCCTTAGTGATATCCAGCTTGAGCATCACCGTGGGTTCCCGAAGAGCATGCAGCCGGCGCGCCATGCACTGAACCAACATGAAGTTGTCGTGGATCGACCGACCTTTGATGAAAGCACTCTGGTGTATGCCCACAAGCGATGGCAGCTCAGACGCCAACCTAACTGCCATTGCCTTGTCAAAAATCTTCACAGCCCCATGCATGAGGCTGACCGGTCGGTAATCTTTTATATCCTCCGCCCCATCAATTTTGGGAAGGAGAGTATTGTTGATCGCCGGCAGCCCGCGCATATCCCCTTGGTGGAAGAGGTCCATGGTGTGCATGATGTTGTCCTTGATTATGGGCCAGCAGGATGCATAGAATCTCCCGGTGAAGCCGTCCGATCCTGGCGCCTTGTCCATGGGCATGGACTTGATTACCTACTCGATCTCATCCATCGTGAAAGGCACCTCGAGATGTGCCAGGTCTCTACGCGGCAGATTCAGGGCCTCCGAATTAAGGGTCTGCGCTCGCAGTGATGCTGCCCCTAGCAAGCGGCCATAGAAGTCGTCCACCATGCAAGAAAGTTGTCCCTGGCCCGAGGCTATAGCCTCCCCATCCTTGAGACTGGTGATCATGTTGCACCATTGGCAGTGACGAGCGTGGCTATGAAAGAACTTGGTGTTCGCGTCCCCCTCGCGGAGAAAGAGGAGACGGCTATGCAGCCGCGCAATTGTGCGCTCAAGGGAGGACAGCCCAACCGGCTTTAGTTTTAGAATTTTGCGCAGCTCCCGCTCCGGAGAAGAAAGCTCCCTTGTATCCATGGCCGTGTCTAGGCGAAAAATGACTTCAAGAGCTATTGCAATTTGCATCTTGACGTTGCCTACCCACCAGTCACTCCACTTCTTTAAAGCCTTGGCCGTGGTCCTACGCTTTTGATCAAGCACAATGTACGGGTTTCCACCTTGTGGGATGGACGCCCAAGCGTCCCTAACAGTGTCAAAGAAACCGTCCGCCTTCGTCCAAAAGGATTCAAACTTGAACCTCCGTCCCATGTTCAATTCCGTGTCAAGATTCAGCAACATGGGGCAATGATCAGAAACCGCAGTGCTCAGCGCCGTGAGGAGGTTGTTAGGGTACATATCCTCCCATGAGTTGGTGCAAAAAACATGGTCAATCTTCTCCATGGTTGCCGATCCCGCTCATTTAACCACATATACCTTCTTCCATTAAGGTAGAGCTCCTTGAGCTCGAGCAAGTTAAGCCGCCTACGGAATCGGGCCGTCATCCGCCGGTTGATCAACTCATTGTTCTTGTCCTTAGGGTTTACTAGCAGATTGAAATGTTGTAAATATGCCTTAGAGGCAATAATAAAATGGTTATTATTATATTTCCTTGTTCATGATAATTGTCTATTGTTCATGCTATAATTGTATTGACTGGAAACCGTAATACATGTGTGAATACATAGACCACAACATGTCCCTAGTGAGCCTCTAGTTGACTAGCTCGTTGATCAATAGATGGTTATGGTTTCCTGACCATGGACATAGGATGTCATTGATAATGGGATCACATCATTAGGAGAATGATGTGATGGACAAGACCCAATCCTAAGCATAGCACAAGATCGTATAGTTTGTTTGCTAAGAGCTTTTCTAATGTCAAGTATCATTTCCTTAGACCATGA